TTAGCTCAACCACAGAGCTCAAGTACTGGTCCCCACAGGAAGTTCCCCCATTTTAGAAGTAAGCAAAGGATGACAAATTAGCTCCAGTGAAGAATTTAAGTAGTGGAATCAGTGAATAATCCAACACAGAACTGAAAGAAAAAAAAAAAATACCCACACACCAGAGACAAAGTTTGATATTAACTAGTAAAGGTCTCACTTCACCAAAGAACACCTATAACACCTAGAAGGACTGGAAGCCCCCTGGACCCCCAAGCCACAGATGGGGGAGGGCTGGGGGCCTCAGCCATGTCCCCCGACACCCACAACCAGCACAGTGATGACCACCGAGCCACCGCAGGAGGTGCCCTAGGCTCCTGAACTGGGATGGTGGGGGGCCAAGGGCCTAAGCCATGCCCTCCTGACACTCGCACCCAGCCCAGCGATGACCACCAAACTGCTGCAGGAAATACCCTAAGCTCCTGAGCCGGGGCAGTAGGGGGGCCAAGAGCTTTGGCCACACTCCCTGACATCTTCATTCAGCCCAGCAATGACCAAGCCACCACCGGAAGCCCCTGGTCTCCCCTGCAGGAATGAGGGGGTGCCACAGGCCTCAACCATACCCCCCTCTTCCTTTTCCCACCCTATTTCCTTCCCCTTTCCCCGCTCCCCCACCCCCTAACTGTTCTGCAACAACATCTTAGAATGTAAAAACAGATGGAGCTGGGTACCGACCCCTCCTCCCACAACCAGGCAAGGAGCAGGCCAAAAACACCAACTCCACGTAACCACAGCCACCACAATAGCCACGGCTGCCACAAAAGCAGCTAGCCAACACAACCACCATGCAGATGGCCCACCAGCCACTCGAGTGCACTGACACAAGGAGAGTAACCAGCAGAGACCAAAGAAAAGAAGAGGATGTCTCTCTCCACAAAGCCCATTCCAGAGTGACAGAAGAAGCACCTGCTCTATGATAATAGCGGGGGACATGAACACACCTCTCTCAGCACTGGACAGATCATCTAGGCAACAAGTCAACAGAGTAACCATTACTCTTTCAGAAGGAGAGAAGAAATCTAGGGTTATCAGTGGTGGGGGGGAGGGAGAGGGGGATGGGGAGAGATTGGACAAGGGGCATAAAGAATAAGTATGATTTGTAATAATGTGTATGCCAATAACATTGATTTAATCAACATATATCAACGTCAAACCCCAAAAGTATGTATAATCAATAATGATTCAATTAAAAAAAAGTCTAGTTGTAGGTACTGCATTTGTTTGAATATATTATACTTAAACTTATGTGGATTCATATAAAAAACTGTCCAATCTGAACGGTGGGTCTAATTCAGACGAGGGCCAAGTATTTACATGTTAGGATGTAAAGGTGCCTCTCTGTGTTTCACAGGTTAGAGGTGGAAGACGGGTGAGACCAGGCTCCCTTGAACCTGTAGGTTTGTACTGAGACTTTCTCAGTGGGGAATGAGAACAGATAAGGGACCACTGTCCGAGAGTGCCAGGCGACGTGGTTGCTGTGAGGAGGGACGTGCATCCACAGCAGGCTAGAGGGTGCTCCGGGAGGGCCCCCCAAAGCAAAGGAAGGAAAGAGAGAGAGAGGCACGTACAGCCTGCTTTACTCCAACCTCAAAGCCAGAGCCAGCCTTGGAGTATGGCCCGTGCCAAGAATGGAGAAAGGAGGCAGAAACACAGTTTCTGAAAAAGTGTCAGAGTGGAACCAGCAAAGCCACTGAAAGTGGCACTTAAAATGGGCTGCAGGATGAAATGAAGAAGTTTGAGATGACATAAACTCAGGGTGTCAAGAAATAAGGAACAAAAAGGCGAATGGTACGAGAGAAAAAAGCAAGCCAGCCATCCGGGAAGGGACTGTTTAGTGCTTTAAACTTGTGCTAAGAGAACTAAGCAACACAAAACCCTGCTTGTTAACCCTGCTTCAATAGCACAGAGTCTCTGAAATTCCCTCACATAAGGATAACGTTTATTTGTGAACTAGAACCAGCTATTTGTGTTGGACTGAACGGACTGATGGGAGAAAGGAAAATGGGTTTAAAAAGAGCAAGCAGCAGTGGGAGGCCAGGACCGGGAGGTGAATTTCAACAGAAAGGCCACTTTCTCCGCACGCAGGTAGCAGACCCAGGGCAGCCTTAGCTATCTTCATGGTCGGCCCCTTCTTCACTGACCGGCCCCTGACTGAGGAGGAGGTCCCGGCCCGGGGAAGCACTCTCCCTTTCTTCTGAAGCACAGCATGATTTAGAGCATGACATGGGAGGCCACCAGGGAGGATAAGCGACTCTCCATGTCAGAGGACAGGAAACCTGGGTGGCATCAAGGCACAGTTGAGCCTGTCTGTTGTTTCTAAGAGGCAGCAGATGTCAGAGCCTCTTTGGGGACACTGTTTTGGGGTGGGACTCCGGACACTGTCCTCCGCTCCAGGCAGCGCCATGCTACGCAGTATCCTAGGGCTTGCTCTAGCATCTCATTAGAAGGCCCTGGTGTTTCTGAAGCAGATTTTCAGACTGAAGACATCTGGGAAACTCAGGCTCAGGTTTGGGGGAGAGATTTTACAAGCTTACGAATTACCAGAGAAGGCTCTGAAAACTTAACATAAAGATTGTTGATATTTGGGAGGAAATGGTGGGTTATTCTGAACTTAACAATTTTCAGAGGAAAGCAAAGGATCCTTAGAGAACAGTGAAGCTTGTCTTAGAATTTTTTTTTTTTTTTTCCTTTTTTTTGTCTTTTTTACTGACCGGTAACGGGATCGCAACCCTCGGTGTTGCGCCCATACCGGGGACTGGCAACGGGATTGCAACCCTCGGTGTTGCACCTGTACCACGCCCAGCCAGTGAGCGGGAACCGGTCTCCACATGGGATCCGAACCCTTGGCGGGAGCGCCGCCGCACTCCTAAGCGGCGCACTCTCCAGTGCACCACCGGGCCGGCCCTCAGTCTTAGAATTTTAATAAATAATTAATACCTCCCTAGGGATTACTCAAGACAATTACTTCTTAAAGGGACACTCAATTTCAAGAGAGGTAATATCACATATTTACTGGTTCCAAAGAGCAAGGACGAGCAAGCAGCATCAGGTTGGACCAGTGAACCTTCTAGAATTTTTTTTAACTGATGCACAATGCCTTGTCTGCTGACATCTTGACCATTAGGAACATTTTTGGTATAGGGCCATGATCCCTCAACTATAATTCTAAATCCCAAAGAGCTCTGAAAGCCAAGTTTTCAGATGGCACTATGTGAACTTTTTGGGCATAAAACTCGACTTGAAGCTATTTATAATCTTTATCTTTAGGATGAAAATTCATATGTTTCACTGAAGTAATAAATGTGCTCTGCATGGATATTCCATGATAAATGGCTAATGTACAGTATTACTTTTCTAAACTCCAAAAAGTTCTAGATTCCACAACACACCTGGTCGCAGAGGTTTTGGTTAAGGGGTTGTGGGCCTGTACAGCTGTCTCTGGCTCATGAAGAAATGCTGGGCCAGATGTCTCAGACCCAGGACTTAGTTAAATCCAACCTGAGATGGTCAAATGAACACACAAAAGCAGGAATTTGGTGGAGGGTGTGAGTGGCAGAATTAAGGAGATATCTGGAGGCTGGGGGACAGTTAGGGGACAGTTAGGAGACAGCAGCGTCCCTCAGGACTGGGGAGGCTGAAGAGGCAGGATGGTTGTTCCCTGTTGAGGAACACTGCCTTTGGCACACTTGGGACTCAGGCTCAATGCAGCCTCTGCTGTTTTCTTGAGTTCTGGATAACGGCAGCTCCGGTGGCCTAAGGGTAACAGGCCAGGATGCTGAGTTTCAGCCAGAGAAGCTAGACTGGCACTGGGGAACAAGGGGTATGGCTAGAATTACATGCCACTGATGCCTGCAATTGCCCAAACATATCTGGCAAAGCAGAGCTCTGAGTTCAAAAAGGAGTCTGTCTCAACTGCAGCTGCCATCCCTAGCAGAGTTAGAAACACACGTACGTGTCTCTATCGTGGAGCACTCTCAGCAGCACTGGACACGTGTGTCTTTCCAACTAGAGTCTAATTTCCTTGACTGCAGGGACCACGTCTTATTTGTCCCCTTGTCCAGGGCACTTAGTACAGTGTTTGGCACACAGTATGCATCCAATAAATGTTGTGAATGAATGAAAGGCCCACCTAAACTAAGAGATACATTTCCCTTTGTCCGGACTCCTAGATCACAAACAGATATCACAGAATGCAGCTAAGCAGTGACATGGAGCTGGGTCATAAATGCATGATCGTGCTAAGCACAGACAGGAGAGAGTATAGGTATATTTATAGATCCCAATTTAGTATTTGCTTTCTCAATTAGCTTCTTTATACCACCAAATTTCTACCCAGTTTAACGTATACTACCTGCCTTAAGTAGAGAAAAAAGATAGATTTTTTGTTAATGGGAAAAAGGGATGGAAAACTTAATAAACTTCTTATTCAGTAATGATATCATAAGAAGTCAGAGTCAAGGAATTTTAGAGGTGAAAAGAACTTTAGCAATTTCCTAAATCCTACGGCATTTACATGGTTGGTCCCTCATGATGAAGACTGGGACTCAGAGCACGTCCCCTAATTCCTAGACTGGCACTATTTCCACACTCAAGAGCAGACTAAAGATTTGGGGCTGTCAACATTCTATAAGACCATCCTACTTCTCATGGTACTTCCTTCAAACAGAAAATTGTGAAATGTAACACCGTAAAACTTCATTGGCAGGCCCATCTATGATAACCTGTCCATTCTGAAATTGTTTACTAACAAATTAGGGGAAACAGGTATGGTTATTTAAGGAGGAAAATTTGCTAACATGTACAAATTCTCATTTATATATCAGTAATGGGTGACTGCTCACAAAAGTAATTAGAATAAGGAGGTTTTACTGGGTATCAAACAGATAAAGAACACTTTTGGGTTATTTCGAGGTGTTTCTGTCACAGCCAGTCTAAGTGTTGGGGTAACAGGAAACACTTACCACTGCCAGCACTCCCCTCTCTTTTGCCACGGGCGCCCCCACTGCTGTCTCTGCCCGACTTGATGCGCTAGAACAATAAGAAGAGAAGTTTAGGAGAATAAGTGATATTCCCACAAAGTTGAATATAACTAAAGGTTGATTTCTGAAATCAACATGACTGTGTAACCCTGAGGACTACCTCATCCTTACCTGAGAGCTGATTCTGCAGGAAAAAAGACCGAGTTGTTTCCATAAGTTAAGCGTTCAAAGCTTGCCTTACAAAACTCTTACAAAATACTCAAATGGCACTTTAATTCAGGAGCAGTGTAGCCTCTGTTTACACAAACAACCCAAAAACCAAATGGTATTTTCTTGATGTGAAGGTTCTGGGCTTCAAAATAATAGTTTAAGGAAGGGGTGGAAAGAGGCAAGGAAGGGAATCTACAAAAGGGCCATTTCCTGCTTTAGTTCTTAATCTATATGGTTGGACCTGAACTAAACTATTTGAGGGTTCAAAAAAAAGGTAAACTGACTTTTGAAATTCAACTTCCAAAATAAAGGCACTATTAAAATCTCACGAAACACCTAACATCCGTCCAACAGTCTACCTTCTTAGATCCAAACCCACCCTCAAAGCATAAGAAATATTGCCAAGCCATATATTCTTAGGTTTCCTTCTACATTTTACAGTTTTTTGTGTTTTGCCTAAGGGTTAGAATTTTTGTATAAGCACTGAATCTGCCTCAAATCATACTGTCAAATTTTTATGTGAATAATGGTTTGTTTATAGACATACAAGATGGTCAGTGAAGAGAGATAGCTTTTGAAAAATATTTATGATTGAATTAAAATTTCTTAATGTAGGTGAATATTTTATTTAGATCTTCAACAATATAAACATTATTCCATACTTAATTCAAAGGACAATTACTTACCCCCTCAACCCTGACAACCTCCCCCAAATTTATAAATTATGAGGTCAGGGATGAGGTTATTGACATTGCTCTGCTAGGAAAAAAGATCTTTTCTTTCAATAATGGTAGAGTATACTATAAAGCAAATGTATTTCGCAGGGCCTAATTTTCCAAAGCTCTGTAGTCTCAGGTTTAGCCTAACCTTTTTGAGTTACATATAGAAATGTTAACCTTGCAAAAGACAGGAAACTTTCCTCAGGCTAAAGTCTTTGTAACACAGCAAAGTTGCTGGCTCAAGGACAGACAAGTTACTTGATTGGTATGTAAAAATGCTGGGGAAACTGCTGTAGGGAAAAACAGTGTTTGCTAAGATCAAGCTTTTGTTGGTGGATAGACTTAACCTTTTGCAAATTGCATTATGGAATGTCACTTTGCTTTTTTGGCTGATGTTACCAGCCTATATTGTTAAACTATACTTAGCTAAAACCCCACCTATGTTATTTTCCTGTAACTTCCTGGTCTGGAGAATAAATGTGGGGCGAGAACCCAGTTCACAGTTAATTTCCAAAGGAAGCAATGCCTCTCACTTGAGGGTTCTGGGAAATTAACCCCTTCGGGGTCTCTCACTGCTCGGAAGAAATGGGCTTTGAGTAATTCTTTTTGTGGCTTCATCACCCAGGGGAAAAGAGGTGACAAATACATGTGAGGCAAAGCAACAAATAATTCAAGACTTACATCTGTAAAATGAAATACTCTCCTAAAACTTAGAACTTTCCAACATAAACACACCTAAGTCTTTTCTATTAAAAAGAAAAGAAATCTCCCTTGAAGCCCCATCTTTCCCCTTGCCTTCATAGACAAAATAAAATCTTTAAAACATGTAACAAAATAAGAACTTAGGGGGAGATACAATCAAGATGGCAGAATAGATGGTCCCCAGCGTCACTCTCTCCCACAAATCAACTGAATTTACAACTAAAAAAATGTAACATCAGCCAAGCCAGGGCTGCTGGAGCTCAGGGAAAAAGGAGGAGAGACCTATGGAGTTCATGAAGGCGAGAGAAACTATGATGAGAAAAAGAAAAAGCTGCTCTGAGCATTTCGGGCCGCGGCTGCTTTAAGGCTCAAGGTGCTGAGCACATGGAGCAGGAGCTGGCAGAGGCCGTGGCTGTGCCCTCAGATGGAGTTACTTGGAGGCAGCAGAGGAGAAGAGGGCCTTGGTGGCCCCCAGGACAGCAAGACCACTAATAGGGTTCATGTGGACCCACGCAGGAGTGAGGAGCCAGAACAACTGAAAAAAGGGAGCCATTCAGAGGCCGGTGAGTCATCACAAGGGACCAGCGCAGGGCCTGTCCCATGGGAAGTGTTTGGAGCACAGGAGGTGAGGGAGACGTGCCCAGAGGGGAACACTGGGACACAGCAAGGACAGCTGATCTGCTCTCAGTCAGCACAGGACAACTCAGAGGAGACTGGTCAAGAATGCAGAATTGCATGGGGTGCAGTTTGATGAAAAAACTCAGGCCCAGATCAGAGATTCTACACAACACACATCCACCGGGTCTCTGGAGAACTGGAAGTACCTATAAGTTCAACCATTAAACCCTGAGCTGCACAAAAAGCCTTCCCTAGGGAAATAGCAGCAAAGTAGCAGTTTAGCTCAACCACACAGCTCAAGTACTGGTTCCCACAGGAAGTTCCCCCATGTTAGAAGCAAAGGACAAAAAATTAGTTCCGGCCCAGGCACACCACCAGCACCTTGGGGCCTGCCTGGGAACTGGAGGCTTGGATCTGGGGATCAGACCCCACTCCCACTTCCAAGCAAACTGCCCCAGTGCGTTGGGGCCAGCCTGAGGACCTGAAGCATGGAGAAGGGGACTGGATCCCCCGTCCCGCAACCAGGCACACCACACCAGCACTTTGGGGCCCGCCTAGGGACTTGAAGCAAGGAGAAGGGGACTGGACCTCTCTCCCACAACCAGGCACACTGACCCAGCGCCTTGGGGCTCACCCAGGGACCTGGGGTATGGAGTTGGGGAACAGACCACCCTCCCACAACCAGGCACAACATGCTAGCACCTCGGAGCCTACCCAGGGACCCGGGGTATGGAGAAGGGGAATGGACCCCTTTTCCACAACCAGGCACACTGCACCAGTGCCTCAGGGCCTTCCCGGGGACCTGAGGCATGGAGAAGGGGACCGGACCACCCTCCCACAACCAGGCACACTATGCCAGCACCTGAGAGCCCACCCAGGGACCCAGGGCATGGAGAAGGGGACTGGACCTCTCTCCCACAACCAGGCACACCAAGCCAGCGCCTTAGGTCCCACCCAGTGACCCAAGGCATGGAGCCAGGAACCAGACCTTCCTCCTACAACAAGGCACACCACACCAGTACCTTGGGGCCCACCCAGGGACCCGAGGCAAGGAGAAGGGGGTTGGACATCTCTCCCACTACCAGGGACACTGTGCCAGCACCTCGGGGTCCGCCCGGCCCAGAGGCATGCAGAAGGGGACTGGACCCTCCTCCCACACCAGGCACAAAATGCCAGCACCTTGGGGCCCACCTGGGTACCTGAGGTATGGAGAAGGGGACCGGACCCACCTCCCACAACCAGGCACACTGCACCTGTACCTCGGGGCCTGCCCAGGGACCCAGGACATGGAGAAGGGGACTGGACCCCTGTCCCACAACCAGGCACATGGCGCCAGTGCCTTGGGGCCTGCCCAGGGACCAGCAGCATGGAGAAGGGGACCAAACACACCCCACAACCATGCACACCGCCAGTGCCGAGGAGCATGCCAAAAACAGCACCTCCACGTGGGTGGCCCACCACAGCCACCACAATAACCATGGCTGCTGAAAAAGCGGCTAGATGCCACAGCCACCACACAGATGGTCCGCCAACCACTGGAGTGCATGACACAAGAAGAGTCACCAGCAGACACAAAGAAAAGACGAGGATGTCTCTTTCCACAAAACCCATTTCAGAGTGACAGAAGAAGCATCTGCTCTATGATAATATTGGGGGACCTGATCACATCTCTCAGCATTGGACAGATCATCTAGGCAACAAGTTAACAGAGTAACCATTATTCTTTCAGAAGGAGAGAAGAAATCTAGGCGATTAGAGGGGGGAGGGGAAGGCAATGGGGGAAGGGGAGAGGTTGGACAAGGGGCACAAAGAATAATTATAATTTGTAACAATATATATGCTAGTAATATTGATTTAATCAACATATCTCAATGTTCAACCCCCAAAATATGTATAATCGATTTTGATTCAATAAATAAAATAAAGTAAAATAAAATAAAAACAAAATAAGAATTTAAACATGTATAATCTGACTTTATTTCAAATCCTGATTTTCATCTATCCACAGATTGATCATCTCCAGCATATCTAAAAGACCTACAGATAATTAAACTCATCAAGACAAATGCCCATGTAATTTGACAGTATTTCAAATCAAATGTGAAAACAGATCTGTGTCTTGCTTAAGTGACCACAGGTTGAGCACAGGACAGTTTAGGAAGGTGAGCACCTCCAAGATCCTGACAGTCTTCACCCCACCATACCTGTACCCTGTCCTCATCTAGAACTTTCCAATCCCCTGACTCTTACCCTCTTCTATTAATCCCTATTGCAGCTCTACTTTCTGTCCAGCCTTCACTCACGACCTGCCATGCTCACTGCAGCCACATCAGGACCTGCAAGGTCCTTACCTGCCTCCTGTCCTTCTGCTTCACTCACCAAGAGAAAGCCACATCTGGGTTGATTCAGTGACTTCCTTGTCTCCTCTGTTTCTCCCAGGATGACGTGCTATGCTGGGGTTGCTGGGGAAAACCTGTGAGCACAGCGCCATCTCACAAACACAACGTCCTGTCCTCCTCACCTTCACAAACTGACTGCCCACCAGCTTTGAGAATAAAAGGCAGCCAGCATCTCCTTGGATACCCGGCTTCTTCTCTTGCATGGAGTTTTGGTCACTCCCTCTGTCTGCTGAGCCCTCCTTCGTCTTTGTTCCAGCTCTTTCTTTATCTCTCCTCTCCTGTCCTCTCCTCAAGAGACGCCCTGAGTGTCCCGGGTGTCTGCTCACTGCATGTGCTCAGTGCTACCACACACTCATCGCGCTCAGGGCCACACTCTGCCTGCCAGCTTGTCTTGCTCCTTC